CAATAAATCTCCTCTGCAGACCCCGGGTTCAATCTCTATGGCACAGTCCCTTGGCCAATGGGGGGGGGGTAGTTGGTCCGACTCCTTTTCACTAAACACTGCTTCCAAATCTCAGTACTGCTCCAGAATCAAAGTCAGATCCCCAGTTATACTCCCATCCGCCGCTTCCACACTTGCTGTGGCCATCTCTACCTCTGATGACTTTTTGGCAATCCCTCTCACTTCCATAACATTCCCCTTTGGAAACTGTGAAGTGCCCTTGTCCCAGTCCACCTTGGGGTTCCTCCCTTTCAGCCAATTCATCCCCAAGATTAAGGGATGGGTTGCCATGGGAGTCACCAGGAATTTTATAGTCTCTCGGTGAGTCCCCATCCTTAGTTCCAGTTTCTCTGTACAAAACTCCATGGGGGGTGCTGGGGACCCGTCAAACTGAGAAAATATTACTGGAGTTTTGAGTCTCTTCACTCTCAGTCCCAGCCCGTGAACAATCACGGGATTTATTAGCAGCAGGAACACCCGAGTCTATGAGAGCCTTCAAGTCCGACCTATGGGTTGTCCTCAACCCAGACGTCGATGGGACTCACTCCCGTTTCTTCACTCTCCAACTCCCCTCCAGATCAACCTTCACGCCCTGGGAATTATGCCTTCTTTCTGGCATGGATTAAAGCAGGAGATTTTAGTTTCCCGCCAGCTGTTCCTCTCCCTCTGATGACTCAAACTCCGGGGTGTCCTGACCCCACCTCTGCGCTGGCAGCTGCGGTCTCCTTTCTCCCCGGCTTCTGAGGGTTCACCAGCCTCCGGCATCCGATTTCGCTTGGGGGGAAGCAGCAGTGAAATGACCCGACTCACCACACTTGAAGCACACCCAGTGACCTCATTTCCTGTCTTGAGCACTCTCTTTGGGTTTGGTCCCGACCTTCTTGGCTCCTGGCTCCGCTGTCAACAAACGGGTTCTTGCTGCCACTGTTAGCCACTGCTCTTCGACCTCCCCTGCTGTAGCAATCCACCCATTAAGAGTCTTCGGATAGCCCCGATTCATCACATGCTGTAACAGCTTGGGTTGCAAACCCCGCTGGAAGAACTCGATGAGGAGTCCCTCTGGTATGTCTGGGTGCTTCTCAGCTAGATCCTTGAACTCAAATGCGAACTCGGACATCGTCCTGGATCCTTGCCTGAGCCGTTCCAGATCCCTTCGTGCTTTCAGGGCAACACACGGGTCTTCGAAACGCTTGCACAGGGCATCCATGAAGCCCAACTTTTCCAGAGCCGGTTCTTTTGTGCAATGCATTCCGACGACCCACTCCACCGCCATGCCCTCAGGGTAACTCGAAACGTAAGAAACCTTCTCTGCTTCACTGAGAAACAAATCCCCATATCCTTCCATGTAGATCTGCACCTGGGTGAGAAAACAGGCCAGTTGTTCAGCATCTCCTGCGAATCTCATGGAGATCCCCCGTTGCTACATCAGGCTCTTCTTCACCCATCTGGGTGCGTAGTCCCCATCTTCTTCACTGGACATCTCACCCTCAGCCAATCTCTCACCCGCCTCTGACAATCCAGGTGTTACTGCTGGTTCCCTGGCTGGGGGTATGAGGCCGCCCCCCCCCAGCACCCGATCCAGCACGATTCTCATAGCCCGCACATCGTCTGCTAGCGAAGCCATCTGTGTCTCCACTTTTCTCACGCGGTCCTTCAATGAGGGGCCTGGCGCTTTCACTGCCAATCGGGTCGCTCGCGAGGACTACTGGTGCCTCCTGCTGGACCTTAACCTCCTTGATTACATCGTCCGCCATCTCGTTGCTCAGTTGCACGCCGGTTAACGCAATGTAATGGACTTCCCTCAGGGCAAGTTTTTCCCTGGCAGAAGTCCTCATGGGAGTCTTAGCAAATTGTAACGATCTGCCACTCACAACTCCCAACTTCAGTAACTTTCCTTGCAACCAGTAATGGTTCAAAAGAAAGTTCATTCATTGAGAACAAGTGTACAGTTCCAAAGCATTGCTAAGACTGAGCCCGTATGCCAAAAGTTGCTTTTACCTTTTTTCTCTTTCCCCCTTGCACCCCCCTAACCTCCCAGTCTTCTCACACTTGCTCGTTGGTACGACCCTGAGCATTCCTCAGTCTCTGATAACAGCCCATCTACCTCTAATGGTCATTTCTTCCCTCCATCCTTCTAGATCCTTCCAACACCCCCACATGTCTCTTAATGGCAGAACCCAAGCAAGCAAGCAAGCTGGGAAATAATGCGGTTAACTGATTGCGAGGATTCTGACATGAAGGTTCCTCAATACCTGGTTATGCCAGCAGGCTTGGGGACCCCAGGGGACGGGTGAATTAGTGAGGTGGCTCCAGTATTATTAACAGCCCTTTTTCTATTTTCTTTTTCTGTTTCAGTTCTCCTTTTATAGTTTTACTGCTTTTTAATAATTATATAATGTTTTTAGGCAATGTTTGTTTTATATATTTATTGTTTTATTGGCTCGGTGTATGCCACCCATAGTCACTTTTTCTGAGGTGGGCAGCCATATAAATTTGATTAATAAATAAATAAACAAAACAATGTTAAGTGGGTGTGATTTTATTTTGTTTGTGTTCAAGACAAACAGCCATTTTCCTTCAAGGCAATTTGCTTCTGAGGCCTAAATCTTCATTTTCTGCACCCTGCTTCTCTGAGGCCTAACCCTTGACTCTAAGCCTAAAACCAACCCGTGTTTTCTCTACTCTTTCGCGTCTCAATAAGCTGTACATACAACTTAAAACCGGCGCTTTGGGGATCAGCGTCTGTCCTGGGGTCGTGACCTGGTTACCTGGCACCGCTCTCCGGATTAACTGCCGGGAGGGCAGAAGGGGCCGGCCGCAGGCCCGTCAGCGGGGCGAGGGCTCCTTGCCTCCAACTGCAGCCACGGAGGGGCCCTCCCAGGGTCGGCGGAGGCCGGGCCACCTTGGCGCGGCCGGCCCGGTTCCTCCTCCGATTTCTTTCCCGACTTTACCTCCCCGTCGGCAGCCCGTAAGAGCCGGCCCGGCAACGCAGAGCAGCTGAGCGACAAGCGGCGCGACGGGGCCGCGTCCGCATCCTCCTCCGGGTTCCTCGGGGCTCTCATCCGACGGAGAGCGGCGTCGGGCGCCCCAGGGGGCGCGGAAGGGACGCAGAATGAGGCCCGCAGTCGGGCGCCCTCCTCGGTTGGGAACGAAAGCCGCCGAAAACCCTCCTG